TCAGATGAAATCTGATTGAGACCCCCAATACCATGGCCCTGAAATACATTCTGTGCCTGGAATAAAACACACCCCCAGGGCTGGCTCTCAGCCCAGTAGTTAACAAGATGTACATGCAGACCACTCAACCCAGGATGGCACACCCACATACTCTATGGCAATATATCCCTTAGAGCAACAGACCACGGGACACCAGAAGACCAATATTCAAATTGAGGAAATGCAGGACAAATAGGAGTGCATAAATATGAGGGGCACAGGGGGTGGGTTACAGAGTAGGGAGGGGAGGAGACTGGGTTAGGGTTGGACATGGTAAATGGGGAATGAAACTAAATGTACACTTAACGTTGAATGTAAAACAAGCTCTTAAAAAAAAAAAAAAAAAATGAAGTGAGTGAGCTGGGAAGTCGACCCTCCAGCCCTCAGATGACTGCAGCTTCATGAGAGACCCTGGGTCAGAATCTCCCAGCTAAGCCACTCCTCCATTCCTCACCTTCACACACTATCTGTGAGGTAATAAATAGCTGATATGTTTTAGGGGGGAGGGCACTGGCGGTTCAGTAGAATTCTTGCCTTTCATGTGGGAGAACTGGGTTTGATTCCCAGCCAATGTACCTCATGTGCAGCCACCATCTGTCTGTCCACGGAGAACCATGATCTGAACAAGGAGCCCTGGTGGCACAACAGTTATGCATTTGGCTGCTAACCAAAAAGCAGGCAGTTCAAACCCACCCAGCCACTCTGCAAGAGAAAGACCAGCCAACTTGCTTCTATAAAGCTTAAACCAAAAAAATCAAACTCATTGCCACTGAGTCATTCTGACTCATAGCGACCCCCACTAGGTTTGTGAGGTGATAAATCTTTATGGAAGTATATTGCCCCGTTTTCCTTCTGTGGAGCAGCTTGTAGGTTTGAACTCCCAACCTTCTGGATAGCAGTAAATGCCTTAGTCAGTATAAAGATTACAGCCAAAAAATCTCTATGGAATAATTCTACTCTGTAAAACATGGGATCACCATGAGTTGAAATTGACTCAATAGCACCTATCAACAACATGATGCTAAACAGGTTTCATCAGAGCTCCCAGACTAAGATGGACTAGCAAGAAAGGCTTGGAAACTAACTTCTAAAAATTAGCTAATGAAAACACTATGGGTCACAACGGTCTGACCTATAAAGGATCACGGAAATAGCACAGGTCTTGGCAGCATTTTGTTCTATTGTGCATAGGTTGCCATGAATCAGGTGCTGACTTGATGACAGCTAACAACAAGCTAACAGTAACAAGTTTTGGGGTAAGTTGTTGCACAGTGATAGATAACTGAAATAAGGTACTTCTACCCATGTAGTAAGGAGCTCTGGTAGCATAGTGCCTAAGGCACTTGACTGGTAACCAGAAGGCTGGCGGTTCAAACCCACCAGCCACTCCTCGGAAGGAAGATGGGGCAATCTACTTCCGTAGTGATACTGCCTTGGAAACCCAAGGAAGGGTTGCTATGAGTCGGGTCCGATTCAACGGCACATAACAACAACAACAACAACAACCCATGTAGTAAAACTCTAAACGTGTAAGTAATAATTATGAGAAGAATACACATCAATTTCAGGATAAAGGTTAACTCTGGGGAAGAGGTGGGGCTCTAGCTATGCTTGCTGGTTTTTATTTCTATAACAAATGTTTTGGGGAAAAAAATGTGCCAAATGGTTAACGCTTATTAAATATGGATATTCCAGAGGTGAGTACATAATATATAATTTAAAAAATATTTTTAAACATTTTGTAATTAAAAATTAACACATTTAAAAAGGGGAAAAAAAAGTCTAGAAATATATTCCATTTATCATAGCACTATAGAGTGCAGTCTCTTTTAATTGCAGCCCTGAAGGTAAAGTAATTATTTTAATGGCTAAACAATTTGCACCGAAGGGAAGGCATATATCAGTGTAGATTCCCACAGCTGGTAAAATCAAATGTTTAAGTACCAAATCCTTAAATAAATTTTTAAAAAATAGCAACAAAAAACTTTTGTAAGAAAACCTAACAAAGAATTCATGATGAGATGCAGAACAAAAGGTTGCCTTGCCTGGAAGTGCTTAATATTAAACTACTGTATTTCCAATGGCAATTCACTTAGGAAGCATACGGTTATTATGCTCTCTGCAGTATTAAATAAAGTGGACAATATAATGGCTGTTGCCATAGTAGCCTTTACTTTAATGGTATTTAACAAGAGAACAGAAATTGTGGGAAAAATTGCCTTAGTTCTCAGATTCTCTAGGTTAAAAAGAAGGAAAATATTCAGTTGGGGAATACAGTGCTATTTCAGGTGGTAGAGTTACAGTTAACTCCACAGAAAAAGAGCTCACTGAAGGATAATCTGATAGACAGAAAGAGTTAACGCACTTCCAAAAGATTAACAGTGACTCATGACTAAGATAGAAAATGGGAATCTGTGGGTGGTGTAAACGGTTAAACTGTTTAAACACTTGGCTGCTAACTAAAAGGTTAGCAGCACAAGCCCACTCACCTTGCAAGAAAGGCCTGACAATCTATTTCTGAAAAATCAGCCAGGGAAAACCCTATAGGGCACAGTTCTACTCTGACACACATGGGGCCATGGTGAGTCAGAATCAACTTGACGACAACTGGCTTTGGTTTAACATACAAAATGACAAACCTCAAAGATTCACTAATATAAATTCTAGTAAGTCTGCGATGATACTGAAGAACATATACTACAACATATTAAATATATACTCTAGGTTGAGTGATTTCATTCAAATAGAGAATGAATTGGCCCAAAATTCCACATGGAATTTTCCCTTTTTATGTTTCTCTTTTTCCATTCTCCAAATAGCTACTTTATTTTTCAAGGAATGACAGTGTGTTGAAATAAGGATATGAAGCATCACTTACTTGCTTCCTTTACCAGAATTTCCATTTCAAGACTATGATTTAGGTATTAAAAAATAATAACTGAAATCTATCCTTGCTTGCATAGGCCGCCTTTGATCATCTGGCATTTTGCCTACAGTCCTTCATCTCTCTGGTTTTCCTCCAAACTCTTTAGGTGGTTTGATCAGGGTGTCAGTCGGGTAAATTATTAGGAGGGCCAGTACAGCATTCCTGCCTGTCCTTCAACTAGATCTGATGTATAAGGCTTTCCTTCCACCAAATTCATATTTGTTTTCTTTCATTTCCATAAAAAACCAGATGCTGTTGAGTCCATTTGACTTATGGCAAATCATGAGTGTCAGAGTAGAACTGTGCTCCATAGGGTTTTCAAAGGCTGATTTTTTTTAGAAGTGGATCATAGGGTCTTTCTTCCAAGATGCCTCTGGGTGGACTCAAACTCCAACTTTTTGGTTAACAGTCAAGCTTGTTAATTGTTGGCACCCTTAGTTACAAGGTCATCTGGCATTTCACTACAACACCCCACATTTTCTTCTGTTACTTTTCTACCACTAGTCCTTTCCCCCTGTCCTCCCTCATACCTCATCTGGAAGTACATGAAGCTGCAGAAGTCTCTTGTTCAGTCCCTCACTGGTGACACAAATCCCACCCCAATGTCAGAGCTTATCCACCTGACCCTTGCCTGCATGATTTTTCTGTTACACCTCCTTATCCTTAGTTCTTTTTCTACTGCAAATTTGCTTTCTTTTTCTTCCCTTTAGCACACTACATGGTGGCACAAATGGTTAAGCATTTAGCTACTAACTGGAAAGGGTGGCCATTAAAACCACCCAGCAGTGCCTCTGAAGAAAGCCCAGGCGATCTGCTTCTGAAAGGTCACAGTCACTGAAAACCATGTGCAGCACAGTTATTCTCTGCACACGTGGGGTCTCCATGAGTCTAAGCTGACTCAGCAGCAACTGTTTAGCATGCTACCAGCACAAATTTTTGGATTTCATTCTGTTCCTGATTCTGAATCCAAAGCAGCAAAATGATTTTGGCCCTTGGAAATCCTATTTTGAAACACTATAGCTATCACATCTCCAGTGCACATGCTTCCTCCACTTGTCTCTGGCAATCCAATCGTACACCCTCTACTGTGATGTGCCAGTTTGGACCATTAGCCAGGAGCACCTAATCCTCCCATTTATACCATATGCTGTGGGAACACACTCCACTTTAAGCAAACCGTTCAATCTGAAGGAGTTTTCACCCTATCAATTTTATTTTGCTCTCCTGGTTTCCCAAAGCCTCCCATTTCTCTGAAGAACTGCCCAATTTTCAAGCTACATTTCAGATACAAATGCTGCTGTGTACCCTCACATCACCCCTCAAAGAAAATTCTACCACAAAGACAGGCTCCTTGGTCTTGGTATTTTAGGACACTGAGAAAAAGCAATGATAGATGTTTACATCTTACTTCATAACGAGGCTTTTCCTTGAGGGAAAAATGCATTGCTGTGTGCCTCTGAGTCAATTCCGGTGACTCACAGCGACCCTACAGTACAGAGTACAACTTCCGTATAGGGTTTCCCAGGCTCTAATATCTATGGGAGAATATCAGCAGGTCTTTTTCCCCATGGAACCTCTGGTGGGTTCAAACTGTTGACCTTTCAGTTAGCAGCTGAGTGCTTAACCATTGTGCCATCATGGCTTCTTGGAAAAAATATATAGAGCTTATATATGATTTTTTCCTTTTGCTCATTTTGTTTCAGTTGTCAAAAACCTCTAATTTTCCATCAAGGTGTCACAGAGGATTTTCATTCCTGCTGTGGGGATGCCATTTCAAGTTTTATACAAGGGAAATGTAATGACTAACATATATTGAGTATTTGCATGTGTCAAGCATTGGACTAGGTAGGAACTTCATTCAATCCTCTCAGCAATTCCCCAACTCATTTTATCAGTAAGATGTTTATCATGGTCCATGGGCATGAGTCAAACAATTCAATAGCCACTGATTCATCATCCAGAATGGTTGCCAAGTTAGTAGATTAGCCTAAAGTGCTCATGTTAGGGCTTCTTTGATGAGGTAGGAATCGCTCACCTGCACAGGGACTTGTAGCGAAGCCCACTCTCTTTCGAGCTCTGTCAAAGACGACGTAAAAGCCCTCCATCACCGTAGCCCCAATCACCAGTGCATTTGAGGAAGGAGAGATGCCGAATCGGTAGCACTCATAATTCAGGCCAGCTCCCAGCATGGGCTGGATGTAAAGCTGTTTGTGTAAAAGGAAAGAGCAAACAAAGAAGGCAAGAGTCAGGCAGCATCATAAGATTGCTGAGGTCACAATTATGCTCAGAACCCTCCAGGGTGCCATGGGCAGTCACAAATGAAAAAGGAAAGCCATAGCATCTCTGCCATCCAGGAGCTGAGAAACATTATCGAAAGTGACAGGAACATGATAGGAACATGGTAACAACCACCTATAACTATACAGGTGAAATATACTAGAAATAACAACCAGAATGGTTCTTAGAAGTGAGGATGGAGACACTTTGGCTAGCTTCCTTTGGACACATCATCAGGAAACACCAATCACTGAAAAAGAAAAGAGTGTCTGGTAATGTGGAGGGCCAGCAAAAATGAAGGAAACTCTCAATGAGATGGAATGACACAAAAGTAACAACGATGGACTCAAACATACCAACAATCATGAAGATGCTGCAGGACTGGGCAATGCTTCATTCTGTTAAAAATAAGGTTGCTATGAATCAGAGCTGACTCAGTGACAACAGCAATCAATTTTACAGAGGTACACATACATACACAGAAGATGTCCATCTGTCACTCTGTCCATCTACCTACCCATCCATCAGCTATTTATTGAGTACTTACTATGGCCCAGATACTAACCATAGAACCTCAGCTTGGTACTAGCAATTCAATGCTGATTAAGATGGTCCCTGCCCTCTAGAAGGTACCATTTATGAAGGAGCCAGGTATGTAAGTAGAGTGCTAAGTGCTCTAAGAGGCTCATATCCTGGTTGTGTTAACCAGCCAATCAGTCCTTCCTCCTTGAAACTCTTTCTTCACGTGGCCTCAAAGAGAGTAGCAGTATCTTCCTCCTGGCTGTTCCTTGTCCGGCAACCATATTGGATTTGCTTTATCTTTAACTTAAAATTCCATAAGTAGGCCCTAAGGAACCCTTGTGGTGCAATGGTTAAGTGGTTGGCTGCTGACTGAAAGGTCAATGGTCAAACTTACTTTTCTCCTTGGGAGAAAGACCTGGTGATCTGCTTCCATAAAGATTAAGCAAAACCAAACAAAACCAAACTCAGTGCCCTTGAGTGGATTCTGACTCACAGCAACCCCCTTTGGGTTTGTGAGGCAGTAAATCTTATGGAAGTAAATTGCCCAGTCTTCCTTCCATGGAGTAGTTTGAACCGCCCACCTTCTGGTTAGCAGTCAAATGTCTGAGGCACTATGCCACCAGAGCTCCTTATAGCCTAGAAAACCTTCTAAGGTAGTTCTACTCTTTCACATTGGGTTGCCATGATTTGAAAACTGGCTCAATGGCAACTAGCAACAACAAAGTAGGCCATAGGTATGTACATGAACACACATACATACATATACCCTCTCCGAATGAAGGAATTCAAGAGTAAAACCCACACAACTAATTTTTAGATATGATGCAAAAGGATGATATTGATATACTCAGTTAGTTATCAAATAGACTGTAAACTGAGTTTGCATCTTTCAGTCTGTTCTTTCTGTGTCTGTCCCAGTAATACCAGACTGTAAATTCTCTAGCACATCTGGAAACTTCAGTATTACCAGATCTTCAAGTAAAGTGTCTGCCTTAAAGTTAAAATAGAACAAATACACAAACTAGTAGCATTTAGGATGAAAGTATTTACATTTTTATGGTTATGTCAGGGAAAAAGAAAATTGGGATATTCCAGCCTGTGGGGTGGGGCTGGGGGTGGCTTTTTAACAGCCCAAATAAGATTCAGCCTGTGTTGTTGTTGTTGTTGTTATATGCTGTCGAGTCAGACCTGACTCATGGTGACCCCTCCTTGGGTTTCTGAGGCAGTATCACTATGGAAGTAGATTGCCCCATCTTCCTTCCAAGGAGTGGCTGGTGGGTTTGAACCACCAGTCTTCTGATTAGCAGTCAAGTGCCTTAGCCACTACACTACTAGAGCTCTCTTGCGTTTTGGAAAATAATGTTAGGGACACACAAAAACTGAAGATAACTGAAGATAACTGTCCTTGACATGACTCTTTTTGTACTAGTGACTATCTTAATCTGCCTGCCTATTATTGCTGATGCATGAAAGGACCTAAGTAGATGTTCTATTTTAAAATATTGGTGACAAAGAACCTCCTTGATTGTCCAAAATATTAGAAAGGGAGCAAGAGAGGTAGAGCAAGGCTGCTAAAGGGAGACCATTTAGAGCCCTCCATGAGGACAGTGTCAGAGAGTCATGGAGTCTGTGGGGTTCTCATCGGGATCTTTAGCAACTTCCTATCAAAGTCCTCTCCCAATAAGGCTGCCGTTGTTGCTAGCTGCCAAGTGGGCTCCTGACTCATGGTGACCCCACACACAACAGAATGAACACTGCCTGGTCCTGTGCCATCCTGACATGATCAGTTGTAGATAAAACTACTGTGAGCCACAGAGTTTTCACTGACTGATTTTAGAAGTAGTTCACCAGCCTTTTGTTCCTAGTCTATCCTATTCTGGAAGTGCTGCTGAAACCTGTTGGGCCTCATATCAACACATATGCCTTCACAGACAGACAGGTGGTGACTGTGCATGAGATGCTTTGGCCAAGAATCGAACCCAGGTCTCCCACATGGAAGGTGAGAATTCTACCAACTGCACCACCACTGTCACCCATGCCCAACAAGGCAGCGTAAAGCACATGGGATGAAATGCAAGAAAATAGAGGGGAAAGCAGATTGTAGAAACAGAAAATGTGAACGTGTCAACAAAAAATACCCCAGTCTCAAAAATGAGAGGGATGTTAATGCTTATAATTAATAACATAATGCTTATGCAAAGGTATACAGATGAAGTGAAACCTCCCAAACCAGCCCTCTTATATTCCTGGCTCACCTGGGCTTGGTCCTAAAAGCCACTGAAGATCCCCAGGTGACCCTTCAGCATTGATGGCCATCACCTGCCCTGCACATAATAGATGTTTTCCCTAAATGCCTGCTTTATCCTTCTGCTTCTAGGAGTTCCTGCCTCTGCCAACAAACCCATGTGCCATTTATTTACATATTCACCTTTGTCCTGAAGCTGGGTTCTGACTTTAGTTACAAACTACATTGATGAAATAATGTTCATATTTCACTATTAGACTGACCAAAATTTAATCACTGAGAGCACATTATTTTAAAGGTGCTGTAAACATATCATTTGATCTTCACTCTGTGCAGTGCCATTCGGCCAAGGATATTGCAGTCTTTTGAAAATGTCTCTAGCAAGTATTATTATTTCTTCTTTATAGTTAAAGAGACAGACATAGAGAGGGTTATGTGAATTGCTCAAAGTTACAGTTATAGTCAAGGGCACTGCTGAACATGTAACTCAAGTCTCTCATGTCCAGCCATATACAGCCTCTGCTGGGCTTGTGTTTCTCTGGAAGCATTCAATCCTTCTCCTAGTATCTCTTCATTTCAGGAATATGCATCACACCATAAATAAAGATGAAAATGGGGAAAAGGCAATGTTATCATTTACCTTTTTCTTCCAAAATTATTCCTCCTTCCCTTCACCCAAAACTAAGCCCTTTATTTCAAATCCATCAAATTATAACAAAGACACATTAACCTGTCCATTCCATAAATACTCATTAGGCATCTACCTTGCACTGCCAATACTATTAGGAAGTGTGTTATGGATTGGACTATGTCAATAATATGTGTTGGAATCGTAAACCCTTTATGTGTTGGAATATATGTTAAAAATAATAACTTGATGTCAACTAGACTCTGACCCAAGGCAATCCCATGTATTACAAAGTAGAACAGCTCCACAGGGTTTTCTTGGCTGTAATCTTTACAAAAGCAGATCACCAGGCCTAGACAATCCTATAAGGCAGTTCTACTCTGTCACATGGGGTCACTAAGAGTTGAAAATTGACTTGGTTGCAACGAACAACAAATTAGTCAAGCACAGACCATTTGTGCTATCTAGGGACTTATCAGTAATAACAGCAACTGTGTTGATAACATGTGTTGGAATCCTAACCCCTGCACCTGTGGATCTAATGTATTAGATCCATAATGCAATCTAACGTTCTGTCAATGAAGACATACCAGTGTAGTATATCCTAAACCTAATCACTTTTGAGTTATAAAAAGAGCAGATTAGACACAGAGGCAAGCACAAAGAGGGGAAAATAGATGCCACTGAGGAACTGAGGAATGATGGGGTTACAGAAGCTGAAAAGGAAAAAAATATTCCCTCAGAGCTGGCAGAGAGAAAGTCTTCCCCTAAAGCCTTCCCCTAGTCCTGGATTCGGACTTCCAGCCTCTGTGTGAAACTTCTGTTCTTTAAAGCCACCCACTTGTGTATTTCTGTTACAGCAGCAATAGAAGACTAAGGCACAATGTGGAGGAAGGATGATTTTTAAAACTCATGATTCCAATCTCTAAGGAATTAATAATTTATTTGAAGAAGAAATAGAAATTAAACAAACACTGAAGTCAAATGAAAAAGGCAAAAGCATAATCTTTAACTTAAAGGTATGATTCCAAGCAGATGAGCAGACTGGGAAGAATGTACCATGAGTTTGAAGGACAAAGTCACCAGTGGGCTATTATGCTCAGCAAAGATTTCACAAAAGGGGGTTTGTTTGAGTTGGGCCTTAAAGAATGGGAAGAATTTGGGAGAAGATAGGGCATTTCAGACAGGGGGGATGGTAGAAACAAGGGTTAGGAGAAGGAAGCAAGTGATAGTAACTATCCAGGGTCAAGAGTGAAGCAGGTGACAGACAGGCTGGAGAACAAGGGTGAGTCCAGGAGCAGAGATCCTTCAAAGCTGTGTTGGGGAATTTGTCATTGCTGTTAGCTGCCATTGAGACAGCCCCTGTTCATAGTGACCACATGAATAACAGAATGAGATGCTGCCCTGTCCTGAACCATTCCCATGTGAGTTGTGGATTGGATCATGGCGCTCCATAGGGTTTTCGCTGGCTGATTCTTGGAAATAGTTGTCATGCCTTTCTTTCTACTCCCTCTCAGCATGGACTCTCCACTGAAACCTAGTCAGCAGCATAGCAACATACAGCCTCTACTGAAAGACATGGTGGCTGTGCATGAGGTACCCTGACCAGGAATCAAACCCAGGCCTCCTACGTGAAAGGGGAGAATTCTACCACTGACCCATCACTGCCTCTGGCCAGGGAATGCAGCTACCAGTACTTAACTTGTGAGGACTCACTGAAGTGTCTCCAGAGGAAAGTCTGGGATAAAAGCTGTGGCTTAGGAAGATAAATCCAGTAATAATTTTATAAAGAAGAGAGGGCTGGGGGCTTGGGGTGGGTGAAGAGCCCCCTAGAGAAGCAGACTACAGCAAGCTGATGGGAATAGAAAGGAGAGAAAGAAGTGGAAAACATGACTAAAGAAGATAAACATGGTATATTTAATTAGATACTCAGGATGGAGTCAATGATCACTTGAGCTATAGGAAAAAAACGATGTCTTCATCTCTGACAATCTGGTTTTATTCTTTATTTATACATAAAAACTCTGCCATTGATTTTCCCAACTCCTAGTGACCCTATAGGACAGAGTAGAACTGTCCCATAGGGTTTCAAGGCTGTAATCTTTACGGAAGCAGACCACTGCATCTTTCTGCCACATAGAGGCTGATGGGTTTGAACCACCAACCTTTCAGTTAGCAGCTGAGCATTTAACCACTGCACCACTGCTGCTGTTGTTAGGTGCCATTAAGTTAGCTCCAACACATAACAGCCCTATGTACAACAGAACAAAACAATGCTTGGTCCTGTGCCATCCTCACAATCTTTGGTATGGTTGAGCCCATCACTGCAGCCACTGTGTCAATCTATCTTGTTGAGTGTCTTTTCATTTTTTGCTGACCCCCTCTACTTTACCAAGTATGATATCCTCCTCCAGGGAATGGTCCCTTCCAACAACATGACCAAAGTAGGAGAGATGAAGTCTGGTGCACTCTTCCTCATGATTAGGGCTCCCTTATTTATAAATAAAGGAAAAAATATAGGGTATTGTGGTTAAGTGACTGGACAACTGTCCCCCAATTCTTCACTTTTCCCTGTAGCAGCCATTTGGATAATGACTTTGTAGCTCTTGTCACTGAGAGAAAGAGTCCATTCCCCACCCCAGGATCTGGGCTGGCCTTGCGGTTGGTGGAAAAGATGGTGGCAGTTCTGAGTCTAGACTTCAAGAGCTCTTATGTGTTTTTCTCTCTCTTGGAATCCTGACACTACCATGTCATCACCTACTAGACAGTGAGAGACATGTGCCAGCTACCTCATTGTCCCAGCTGCCAGATATATGAATATGACCATCCTAGATCATCAAGTCCTGAGATCTTTCACCTTCCAGATCTCAGCTCAGATGTCACCTCCTCCAGGAAGCCTTCCCTGACTCCCTCACATGATGCTAGTAGTCCACTTATGTACATTTCCTTCTTGGCCCTTGTGCTAGTCACAGTTATAATTTTACATTTACTGGTGTGGTTGAATAATATCTTCTGTTCCCCACACTAGAATCTAAGTATCCTAAGAACAGAGGTTTGTTATCTGTCCCTATTGAAGGCCTAACACGTAGCACAGAGTACTCACATTACTCAGGTAACTGTCAGCTGACCACAGACTCATGAGCAAGCCCAAGTGAGATCAGCCAAGTCCAGCCAACCTACCCACCTGACCTAGATTCTTGTGCAACAATGAATGTTTATTGTTTTAAGCTTCTGAGTTTTGTGGTTGTTGTATAATACTATTATGGCAATAACAAATATGCCTAATGCATTTGACTGATAACCAGAAAGTTGGTAGTTCAAACTCACCAACCACTATATAGAAGGAAGATGGGGAAATCTACTTCCATACAGATTTACTGCATCAGAAACCCAATGAGGGTCACTATGAGTCGGAATCAACTTGATGGTAGCAGTTTTTTAAATACTGGTCCTGGTGGTACAGTAGTTAAAGATTCTGCTGCTAACCATAAGGCTGGTGGTTTGAACTCACTAGTCACACCACAGGAGAAAAATGGGGCAGTCTGCTTCTGTAAAAATTTACAGTCTTGGAAACCCTATGGGGCAATTTCTGCCTTGTTCTATAGGGTCACTCTGAGTCAGAATCAACTGGGTGGCAGCGGGATAGGTTTTGGTTTTAATACTAGTGTGATATCTGATACATGTGCTATGTGTGAAAATCTGTATTTTTACAATCATGTTCAACAGACAAAAGTACAAGTTCAAGTCCATACCTGAGGCAGGATAGTTATGCGAAATGATCTGCTGGAGTTCTCATCTCTCAGGTAGATGGATATTTTAGGAAAGTAAGACCAAGGTGTTTCAGAATTAGTCCAGCATGCCAACTGGGACCCTGTCCAGAAGCCATCAGAAAATTCTGGAATCTAGACAAAACAAGATCATGGGAAAAACAATGACTACTCTGGCACGTCAGCATGGAACAGCTCCCGGCTCTTCAAGTGGCTTCGCCAGATGCCCACAGGGCTAAACAATGTTTCATTTGGACAGAGTTGCAGAGACTTCAGTTCTCTGGAAGAGTGATGGCAATAACAAAATAATAATTATTAAAATGGCAAGTACATGTTGAGCATTTACAGTATTAAGTGTTTTAAAGGCACTAATTCCTTTAATCTTCACACCACCCCTTTCAGTATAGTCACACAATCACCTCCACTTTACAGGTGAGGAAACCAAGGCACAGAGAGGTGAGGCTACTTACCCAAGGCCACACAGTAGTGGGCACAGACACTTAGAACAGAGAGCAAATCCTAAATATGACCCATGTTGTTGTTGTTGTTATGTGCCGTTGAGTCAAACCCGACTCATAGCGACCCCTCCTTGGGTTTCCGAGGCAGTATCACTACGGAAGTAGGATTGCCCAACCTTCCTTCCGAGGAGTGGCTGGTAGGTTTGAACCACCAGCCATCTGGTTAGCAGGCAAATGTCTTAGCCACTATGCTACCAGAGCTCCCAATATGACCCATAAGGCCCTTTAAATTCTAGATTCCATGAGCCAAGCAATTCTCCCCTCCTGTGAAGGACCCTGTGTTGGGTTCCCTCTATCTGGAGCAGACCTTTTGGAAGTAGATTGCCAGTCCTTTGTTCTGAGGCACCTGTGTAGGTTTGAACTGTCAGATTTTCAGTTAGCAGTCGAATGCTTAACTGTCTGTGACACCCATGGACTCTGAACCACCAATACCACTGATACAAACCATGACTTTCTAAAATCCCATGTGTACAAAGCAAGCCAACAGTCAGAAACCAACATTTTTATTTTTCACTCTTTGAAGCCAGCCCCTCCTTTAGCAAGAAAGAAAACACAAACCAAGATACACCTTTTAGATAAACATAGCAGATAAAAAGAACAAATACTTCTTTTTCAATATTTAGACAGAGAGACAATACACTCTTTGAGCTTTCCCTGCCCCCAAACAAATAACCTGCCTGAGTTTCTCCTTCCTGACGCAGACAGCATTGAAATCAGAGGATAATTTTAGCCAAGGCAAACAAATTTCGTAATCTTGTTCTTTCAACCTCGTGGCTTTCTTACAAAGTAATCGTCACTGCTGAAACACATGCTTCGATGAACTCAGGGGTGTGAATGAGTGTCCGCCCCCCAGCCTTGCTTTCTCAGGGCTCCTGAGAGGTGCTGAATGTACCTATATTAACTTAAAAAGTTCAATGTGAAGATGCTCATGTTAATTCAGCAGAGGATATTTTTACAACTTAAGAAATCAGCACATTGGTCCTTATTTTAAGCTTGGTCTGATTTTTAACAAGCATTCTAAATCTGTTGTTGTTGTATGTCATCGAGTTGTTTTCCACTGTGACCCTGTGCCAGTGGTTACTTCTGTAGTGATACCACCTCGGAAACCCAAGGAGGGGTTGCTATGAGTCGGATCCGACTCCACGGCAGTGAGTAGTAGTACGAGCAGTCATTCCACGGAAGAAAAGACCTGGTGATCTGTTCCTGTAAAGATCATAACCTAGGAAACCCTAGGGAGCAGTTCTGCTCTGTCCATCCTAAAGGGTTGCTATAGTCCTAAATCTAAGGCACTAAAAAAAATTTACCTGTCGTGTTTTCTGACTCAGCAGATACTAGAAAAGATAGTGGCTTTGCTCTGGTTTCTGACTGCAGTTGGTCTAGGCTGTTGCCTCATAGACCTTCTGATTCAACAAGGGCCTTTGCGATCTTTCTTTCTGATTTCCCCTCTGTGTTCTCTGGTTTGCCTGCTGCTCTTGCCACAGTAGTTTTAAACTTTTGAAGTTTTGGTTCAGGGCAGCCAAAAGCCCTCTCTTGCTTCCTGTATCTCTGGCATCCCTGTGATAGCCTATAATGAGCAACTGCAGTGAAATCTTCCTAGCAATCTTTCGTTGAACGCAGTCATCCCCATGGAGTTGTGGACAACCAACCCACACTGTTGTTGTCTTCAGCTGCCACTGAGTCAGCCCTGACCCATGGCAGCCCCATAAGCGATGAAGCAAAATGCTGCCTCATCCTGCTCAATCTCCATGATTGGTTGAAGACTGGACTATTGTGACCCAAACAGTTTTCATTGGCTGATTTTTGGAAATAGATCACCAAGCCTTGCTTTTTAGTCTTAGTCTGGAGGCTCTGCTGAAATCTGTTCAGAATCACAGCAACACTCAAGTCTCCCCCAAAAGATGGGTGATGCCTGTTCATGTGCACTGACCAGGAACTGAACCAGGTCTCCCACAGGGAAGGTAAGAATTCTACCACTGAACCACCACTGCCCCCTTAGCCCATGTTAGCCACTGCTGTTGGGTCGATTCTGATTCACAGTGACTCCACATGACAGAGTAGACCTAACCCATAGGATTTCCTGGGCTGTAATCTTTATGGAAGCAGACTGACCCATTTTTCTTCTGTGGAGTGGTGGGTGGGTTTGGACTGCTGACTTTCTGGTTAGCAGCCAAGTGCTTTAACACTGTGCTACCATTATCTCTTTCAGCCCATGTTAGTACCAGATAAAGCCTTTATGCAGGAAACACTGATTTTTGGTGCTCTTGAGAGGATGCCCCTAAACAAACAAATGCTCATAAAAATACTCAAGAAGCCAAAAGTAACATTTGTCTCACATCCAAACAAATAGCAATGGCACTGTGATTTGGACTTTTGGGACTTTTGGATTAAATAGGCTTTTCTTTGCTGAGTGCCTACTATATGCCGGGCACTTTACCCAAACCCTCATGAAGTCCTGCAGATGAGAAGACGAGGCTCTCAGGGGGCTTGGAAGCCCTCCCCAGGGGCTCAGCTAGTAAATGCCAGAAACTAGGCTAAGTGTTATCTCATCTGACTCATAAAGCTGTGTTCTTTCCAATGCTTTTGGTCCACTCTGCTGCCCTGAATTGAACAGATCATTGCGGTCACACTGGAATACCATCAACCAAGTCCCTAAAGGCATGCTGTCCTTCACCATGATTTTAAATTGTGCTTTAAAACATGGTCACAAAATAATTATTAGGTTGTCTGTCTGACCTTTACCTTCTGAGGGATAAACAGGAGAATTCAGATTTTAGCACAGCTTGGATGAAAGCCAAAAGGGGGTAAGATTTTTGGTTAGTTTTCTTTTAAAGACTATAAACTTACTCCTGGTGTATTATATTTACATTGTTGTAGTTGTTGTTAGGCATTGTCGAGTTGATTCTGACTCACAGAAACACAAGATAATAGAGTAGAACTGCCCCATAGAGTTCTCTAGGCTATAATTTTTATTGGATCAGATCACCAGGTCTTTTTTGCCATGGAGTTGCCAGGTGGGTTCAAACTGTCAACCTTTCAGTTAGCAGCCAAGCACTTAACTGCTGAGCCACAAGGGATCTTTGACTATGTACCTTAACACAGCTACATTTAAACTCCAACCCATGGCGACCCCATTTGCATCAGAGAAGAGGGTTTTCAGTGGCTGATGTTTTTGGAAGTAGATCACCAGGTTCTCTAAGGTTTCTTTGGGTAGACTTGAACCTCCAAATTTTTGGTTAGCAGCCAAGCACATTAACTGATTATACCACACAGGAACAGAGTTATATTGCCAAGTGTTTCTGTTTTTTTTCCTTCAAATTTTTCCCTTAGACTAAAAAACTACTACACCAACTGAATTGTTATTTGAAATACCAAAGAACATTGAGCATTCAAATTCAAGTCCTATGAAGTTCAAATGAAGGGACTGTTTGGTGATGAACATTATAGAATAAGATCTTAGACTTAACAACTAACAGTTAAAAACAAAATAAAACAAAAACCACCCTCAAATGGAGACTTACAGACACATGGGACCACTCCCCAGCATGTGGTCATGAGTGAGGTGTTCTCCTCAAAGACTCATCAGCACCATGAGGACTCACCAGAGATGCACGGGCCACAGCTTCCACCACTGCATTAAACACCTTCTGGGGTAGCCGCAGGAGTGTGGTCCCACTGTCCACAATGGCCTTGTCTGCATTATACTAGGAACGGGTGAGAGGGCATAGGGGAAAAGGTGTGTGAGCAACAATGGCACTCTTTCTTAGAGTTGGCTTCTACCACCTGCCATGACTGTGACCCTGTTTTATAAATCAACACAATGATAGTGCTTCATTGGTGGTTACATTTCATTTTTCGAACCATGGGGACTACATTTCTTCTAGCTCAACATTCTCATTACACAGCTAAAGAAACTGAGGCTGAGAAATGAAAGTGACATGACCAAAATGAAGAGCTCACCCAACACAGAGCTTTTCCCTGCTTGGAGCAGCCAAATTCCCTCACTAGCTCTTTCAGGATTGACACACCACATTGAATGGCACCTACATCAATTGCATAAAATCAACTCTCTACTATCCCACTGAGGGAAAAAGAGAGAAAGAAAGGACAATTTTGCAATTAAAAAATCTGTTGCTATGGAGTCAACTCCAACTTAGGGTGACCCCATCTGTGTTAGAGTAGAAGTGTGCTCCATAAGGTTTTCAATGCCTGATATTTTGGAAGTAGATCACCAGGCCTTTCTCCTGAGGGGACTCCTGGCCTTGAGTCTCCAATCTTTTGATCAGCAGCTGAGGGTATTAACTATTGGCACCATCCAGGGACTCCAATTGTTGGAAATAAATCAGAAATATGTTAAAAAAGATACTCTTTCTCTTTCTTTCTTTCTCTCTCTCACACATACACACACACACACCCCTATACACACAGGCATTGCTAGACCTACCCCCACGTCTAACATTCTATATGTGGCAGAATGATGAGAACGCACATTAGCAAGCTGATACCAGACAAGCCACAACAACTGCAAGGGACACACGGTACTAGCAAGGATATCCAAGTATGGAATGAGTCCTGAGCAATTTGATTCTCCTCCTTTTAGGGCAAATCCATAAGTCATAAGAACAAATACACCAATCAGGTCAACAGGCAGTGGCAGGAAGAGTTAAGAATTTCAAGAAAATGAAAGAAACTAATTAGTGTATTAGAATTCTTTTTGAATAAAGTTTCATTCAGTTTAAAAACAAATTTAACTTAACTGATAATATAATCTAGTTTGCTTATAAAATTTTGACTTTTTTAAATACATAAGAAAAGTAAACTTATGCAAGGCCCACACCAAACAGAAATGTTATAGTGGGGAGTTCTGGAGTTTGTTGTTTGTTCTTCTGTGGACTAGATAGCACCATGGGTAGACAGGAAGGAACCAAGAATCTGAGAAATCAAACCTCAGCCACTCCTCGGAAGGAAGGTTGGGCAATCCTACTTCGGTAGTGATACTGCCTCGGAAACCCAAGGAGGGGTCGCTATGAGTCGGGGCCGACTTGACGGCACATAACAACAACAACAACAATATATATATATATATATTTGTATTCTCTAACACACACACACACAAGATTTGTGTTATTTCAGGCCCTCACATTTGAATCTGTTACAACTGGACTCTTTAACAGTAAATAAATGCATTGTGACAAAACAAACCAAACACAGATTTGTGGATTTAGGATTGGAACAGATCTAGTTCTTCTGGTCTCATGGTCGAGGAGGATGAGGTGATCCTGTATCTTTTAATTTAACACCCCTGTGACAGGATATCTTAGGATTTCATACACAGGACCTCCATGTAATATTTACATGACTCAATCACACACAGACAGATGGATGGACAGATACAACAGAGATCATCCCGCACATACCTCCCTGCAGTCCAGATTAAGGCTTTGGCCTCCAATTTCTAACTTCAGAATTTCTATCTGGTAATACCACTCTTCTTTAATAGGTGTATACCAGATGTCTCCTTTGTACAAACTTGGTTCAATTCCACCCAAGACCTACAAAGAAAAATATTTACAGGCATAAGAGAAAAAAGGGACATATCAGCAGGCTACACAGGGAAGAATGCACTCATAAAATGAAACTCTACAGCAACAAGGACATTTGCTTTACTGTACTGCTATGACAAATATATGCTTGAAAAATGAACAAGGGGCAGTTTGTGGCCTAGTGCTCAAAGGTCAAAGAATATTTTGTCCCTGGTATAACCATGATCATTTGGTGGTCGGTTTCGTCTAAACAAAGTCTGTATGATTCCAGCTTTATAATATTGTGAAATCCCCTACAGAATGTACAAATAGTTACCCATGCAGACTGATAGTAATTTAGTCCTTCAGATGTCAGAGAAGAGGAAAGCAGAACAAAACAGCTTCCCCAATGAAAATTTCATTTTGTAAAACCATTAATGTTACCCCTTAAACTCTAAGCTACCTCTCCCCTCCAAAGGGGGATTCAAAAGGTATTAAGAGCAGGTGTATTGTGAGCAAACAGAAGTTGCCAGAAATGGAGCCTTGGTTCTACCTCAGCTTCATCGAGGAAAGGAGTCAACAGAGCCGATCAGCAGAGCCCATACACAGACCCTGGAGGTACCCTCCTCCTGCCACCCTCCTACTTTAGATACCTGGGTGCAGGTTCAACTGAGAGGAGGCTCTGGTGACTGCACATCCATGGTGCCTCAACTGACAACACCTTTGCTGATGGTGTGGTGTGTGTGTGTTGAGAGACAGAGAAAGGATGCACTGATGTCCTAGGCACCTTTTCTGCCTCTCTTCCCCAAAGTAAGACCCACCTGTGGACTTCCCACTGCTCCTTGTGCCCCTCTCCCTACCCACAGAACAAAGCTTCCTTTCAAAAGACAATACACAAAAGCTGTGATAGAATTTGGGGAAGGAATGAGAATTATCTTTCTAGAGGGCTGGATGATTTGGAAGAATAAAATAATACCCAATTTTATCCATTTTTTTTAAGGTTCTATAACAAGGATTATCAAATTTTCACAGTACATATGCAGACTTATGTGCCTAATATTTCTTATCTGATTCTTAATAAAACAGAAAAAAAAAATAAAGCAGCCCCAATGATTTGTGATTTTTCTCCCCTTTAAAACTAAAAGATACCCACAAGACTACCTCCGTTGGTACCAGATCCAGACACTGGCAGTCCTGCTCCACACATCTGCATGGAGAAGACATTGGGGATCTTTGCTTGAATCACAAGAGAATCGAAGAACGTCTCCAGAGAACTTGAAGGCTGTGGGATATGAAAAAAAGACAACAGCTTCATATGAAAAAGACACACAGCACAGATAAGGAATGGCCCAATACATATACACAATAATATTTTTCTTCATACTTAACTTCCCAGGGTTAAATGATAAACAAGGATATGATTAGGTAAGTAAGTCAGAAACCTCCAAAAGAACTTTTTGTTGTTGTTGCTAGATGCCATTAAGTCAGTTCTGACTCAAAGTGATCCCACGTTCTATAGAATGAAACACTGCCTGGTCCTGCCCCATCCACACAACTATTGCTATGTTTGAGTACATTTATGCAGCCACTGTTTCAGTCCATCTCATTGAGGATCTTCCTCTTTGTCACTCACCCTCTACTTTACCCAGCATGATGTCTCTCTTCAGGGTCTGGTCTGTTTGGATAACATGTCCAAAGCACATGAGATGAAGTCTAGCCATCCTTGCTTCTAAGAAGCATTCTGGCTATACTTTTTTGAAGACAATTTTGTTTGTTCTTCTGGTACTCCATGGTATATTTACCATTCTTCACCAACACCATTAATTTAAAGGCAACAATTTTTCTTCAGTCTTCCTTATTCATTGTTCAGCTCTCACATGCATATGAGGCTATTTAACATACCATGTTAAACATGGTATTTAACATGCATATTAACATGGTATTTAAATATGCCTCATATGCTCTCAGATGCATATGAGGCATATTTAAATACCATGGCTCTCGGGTCAGGTGCACCTTAGTCTTCAAAATGACATCTTTGCTCTTTAATACTTTAAAGTAGTGTTTTGTAGCACATTTGTCCAGTGCAATATGTCATCTGATTTCTTGACTGCTGTTTCCATGAGGGTTGATTGTGGAGCCAAATAAAATGAAATCTTTGACAACTTCAATCTTTTCTCCATTTATCTCAATGTTACTTATTGGTCCAGTTGTGAGGATTTTTGTTTTCTTTGTGTTGAGGAGTAATCCATACTGAAGGCTATATAGTCTTTGATTTTCATCAATAAGTGCTTCAAGTCATCTTCACTTTCAGCAAGTAAGGTTGTGCCATCTGCGTATCTCAGGTTGTTAATGAGTCTTCTTCCAATCCTGATGCCCATTCTTCTTCATATAGTCTAGGTTCTCATATATTTGAATAAATACAGTAAAAGAACAGAGCTCTGAAGCACACTTTTTTTATTTTAAACCATGCAGTATCCTCTTGTTCAGAACTTTCTACTATGTGTTATTTTGATATTTTTTCTTTTGGTGCTGTTCTTTTGTAAAAATAAGATTGCATTTCCAGAGACTATTAAGATGCTATCACATCCTGACTGCCTTGTGAGGAGGGCGTTAGGAGATGTGGAGTGGGGTTACCCAGGGAGGTGGTAGATTCTAATCTTAGGCTTTCTAGAGTAAGGAGGGAACAGTCTCTCTCAGAGCCACCTTTGCTTCTGAAGTTTCATTCACCTTTCTCAGCCCCAGTTGGTCCAACACACCAATGCAAGATGACTGACCACTGAGGACAGTTCATCCCAGACCCCAGATATGGGAGGAGGTTTAGATCTGAGAGTTTTGAGCTCTTGGCAAGCTGCCTACTGAATTCTAGCCATTGGGCAAGTAGCAGCAGAAGGAACAATGCCACTCCTGAAGTTAAAAAGCTTTATTATTCTTCCTTTCCATATATACAATCAGAGTGTTCTTTAGAAGTGAGGATGATGATACTTCGACCTGCTTACTTTGGACACATCAACAGGAAAGACCAATCACTAGAAAAGGATCTCATGTTTGAAAAAAAAAAAAAAAAACCTGTTGCCTTAGAGTCAATTCTAACTCACGGCAGCCCCATGTGCTGCAGAGTAGAAATGCTCCGTAGGTTTTTCTTGGCTGTACTCTTTGTAGAAGCAGAGCTCTAGGCCTTTTTCCCACAGTGATGCTGGATGGGTCTGAATAGCCAACCTTTAAGTTAGTAGTTGAGTATGTATCATTTGTGCCACCCATGAACTTGGTAAAATAGAGGGTGAATAAAAATGAGGCACATTCTCAATGAGATAGACTGACATAATAACCACAATGGATTCAAACCAAAGATGATGAAGATAGAGCTGGACCAGGGCAATATTCCATTCTGTTACATGTAAAGGTGGACATGAGTCAGAGCCAACTTGACTGCAACTAACAATAACATTTCAGACTTAATCTGCTCTGTGCCTTTCTTGCATACAACCATATACTCTGAAGACCCTGAAGATATCACTATTTTTCCTGAAGCATTCACAAGGAAAAAGAATGACCTCCTAGAACAGTTCTGAACTGAGAGTGGGCCAGGGCTGCTGGTGGTCATGGAGGAAAGTAATATAGGATTGAGTTTAGATTTGACTTTGACAATTCGGGAGATCCTAGAGTTAGTCACTATAAGTTGTTAGTTTTTGATGAAAATGTCACAGTGAATGGTGGCAACACAGATGCTCTAAATCTACCCTATGCTTGAGAGCAACCAAAAAAAAAAAAAAAAAAAACAAACAAACAAAAGAAAAACCCAAAGTCACTGCTATTGAGTTGATTTCAACTCACAATGATCCCTATTGGGTTTCCAAGGCTGTAAATCTGTATGGAAGTAGATTGCCTCATCTTCCTCCAGTGGAACAGCTGGTGGGTTTAAATTGCTGACCTGGTTAGCATCCAAATGCCTTACCCACTATACCACCAGACCTCCCATGGTTGACATAAGAAGTGATTATTTATTACCTGTAAAAACAAAAACTATAATGCTGGAGGAAATGAGAATAGAGTCCTATTATCAAGTAGATATAAATCTTTCAATTTGTTTAGTCCATTTGTATTTGGCCTCCCACTAGTGTCTGTCTTGGGTTCTGTAAAATCCTATGGCAGAAACTGGCACACTGTATGTAATCTTTAATGAAATCCTTTGTGTTTGGGTCAACAAGAAAAGTTCCCTCTTGAAATGGGATAGGTCTGGTGGAAATCTGGTCTGGTGTTCTCCTTTGTTCACTTTCTGAAATTGAATGCTGGCTCTATCACTTGTCAAACATGTAACTATTCCTTTGTTTCCTTATCTGTAAGATGGAGGTAACAATAACCTCCTAGGAGGTTATGTGTATTAAATGGGTTAATAAAGAGGTTGGAACAATGCCTGGTACGTGGTAAAGATCTATAATTATTATGACAAATGGTTCTTCATTAGGACTGTGCCTCAAAACCCCTCTAGAGCTTTTAAAAATATATAGTTGCTCAGTACCAACCCCAAGGAGACCTGGTTCAGTAGTTCTGAAATGGGCCTGGACATCTATCCGTGGGGTGACAAACCCCATAGGTGGTTCTAATGCACAGCCTTGGTCCAAAGCAGCTGATACTGAACAAAGGCCACCAGGCACTATGACTGTCACTATTTTGCCCACTTGTTCCAGAACTACCTTTGGAACCAACCCAGATCACCCTCTAGGTCCCCTGCCAATCCTACTTCTGGCTCTACTCTACTTTTTCCAAATCCTGTTACTGCCTCCCCAAACATGGGGAGAACAGGAAGCCAACTGTTGGTAATCTCCTTGGAATTTCATAACAGAAAGATAAAGGGTTAACTGAGGAGTCCTGACCCTTAAATACTCCCAAAGTAGGTTGTGCTCATGGAAGTTTTACATATTTTTAATTCCAGATCATTTAGTTTATTCAATCATCTTCCAAACAATTAGCATAAAATCAAGCATACTCATATCTTTCATTTCCAAACAATCAACAGGATAGCTTTGTTTTGCCCGAAGTCACAATGGCAGTGAAAACATATTAAGGAATGTAAGTTATTACCAGTTTGCAAATCCTAGATTACACTCTTCCTATGGAATTGAAGAAAAATGGGGATCATTGCCTAGCCAGATTCCATAGACACAGAATGGGAAGTGTATGCAGGGCTTTGCATTCTGAACGACCTGCACAAGGGAGTTAATCTGTCTGACCCTCAGACTCCATATCTCTAAAATGAGGGATAATAATGGACTTACAGAGTATACCTTATGGAGTGGTCATGAGAACTGAATGATATGACATCCTGTAATATTCTCAGTCTTGTGCCTAATAAAAACCAACCAGTTGCTGTGACTTGATTCCAACTCATAGCGAGTCCATGTGTGTGAGAGTAGAACTGTGGTCCATGAAGTTTTCAGTGGATAATTGTTTGGAAGTACATCACTAACCCTATCTTCTGAGGAACCTCTGGGTGGACTCAAACTGCAACCTCTTTGCTAGCAGCCAAGTGTGCTGTTTGCACCACCAAGGAATTCCCTAGTATCTCATAAGCCTTCAGTAATTGTTATTCTTTGCCTTTGTGGGCTGGAGACACCCTTCCTCCATAAATTTAAGCTATGATAAAATTCTTACAAGGTGGGAAAACAGGCTTTGCTTTCTGGGTCTCATGGATCAAGGGAGGCTTGGTTGTTATTGGGCCTTTTACTCCTACAAACACACTTTTGTCTTCAATACTTAGCTCTGGCTCAAAGCCTAATGTTGAACAATACCAGCCAAAGGTGTGGTGCTCAGTTACAGGGCCAGGAGAGGTGACCTCTTTTCGTTTCCCTCCAGTGTATGCAAACTGGTCTGGTCTCCAAGATCTACCAGGGTTGGTGTCTAAATTGCCTCTGGCAATGCTACATGGTAGAAACTTCCCTGCTAGCATGAGCCAACCTCCTCCTGCACTTGAACGTGATTTCCTTTGGGTCGGCCTCAAATAGAAGTATTTCAAGAGCATTCAATTCTGTCTTTTCCCATTTTATGAAGGTTCTGATGCTTATGAGAGCATGAGTTCCACAATCTCTCCTTGGCTCAATGCTGCTTCCAGTGGCCAGCAATCCTGAGGCATCCTCTCAAGGTACCCATACTCAGGTCTCAGGTGTTTCCCTGAAGGTACTCAAGAGTGAAGGAGAAGGAGCACAAGGCACTCTCTATCTGCCAACATTCAGGTCCAGGTAAGCCCCATCTCATGCACATGAATTATTTAATGAGTGTTTTCTTTAAGCTTACCCTGACACAAACTCCAGAACAAAGGCCTGGGTGATATACTTTCCAAAGTCAGCCAATGACACAAAAGGACAAAAATTACATGGTGCCACTTTTATAAAAAGTCAAGAATAGGTATACACAGAGAAAACAACATTTTTTAATGGCTACCAGTGATAGGAGGGGGAAGAAAGGGAAGAGAATCACTCCCTACAATCTACAATATGGGTGAAGTCTGCACAACTTAACCAAGGTAATGAATACACTAAGAAGTAAGCAAGAATAAGGCTTAATTTTGGTAAATGCTATACATATACAATTTTGTAACAATGCAAACCCAAAAACCAAACCAAACTCACTGCTGTTGAGTCAATTCTGACTCACAGTAACCCTATAGGACTGAGCAGAACTGTCCCATAGGGTTTCCAAGGCTGTAATCTTTACAGAAACAGACCATCACAACTTTCTCCCATAGAGCAGCTGAGTGTTCAAACAACTAACCTTTTGGTTAGCAATTGAGTGCTTTAAGGAATGTGCTACAAAAGCAAAAACCAAACCAAACCCACTGCCATTGAGTTGATTCCGACTCATAGTGACCTCCACTGGGTTTCCAAGTCAGTAAATTTATGGAAGTAGATTGCCCAGTCTTCCTTCTGCAGAGTGGCTAATGAGATTGAACCGCCAACCTTCTGGTTAGCAGCCAAATGACTTAGGCACTATGCCAGCAGAGCTCCTTAAGCTCTGAAAACAACAATAATAACCAAAAAATACATATGTGGTTACATAGGTAGATATGTAGGCGTAAATGTGTATGTTGTTAGTTGTTATTTGCCGTCGAGTCGGCCCCGACTCATAGCGACCCCTCCTTGGGTTCCCGAGGCAGTATCACTACGGAAGTAGGATTGCCCAACCTTCCTTCCGAGGAGTGGCTGGTGGGTTTGAACCGCCAGCCTTCTGGGTAGCAGTCAAGTGCCTTAGGCACTATGCTACCAGAGCTCCTATAGGAAGGCATATATGAGAATATGCATAAGCATGTATAGGTGTATCTGTGTTGTTGTTAGGGTGCTGTCGAGTTGATTCTGACTCGTAGTGACGCTATGTACAACAGAACAAAACATTGCCTGGTCATGAACCATCCTCACATTCTTTGCTATGTTTGAGCACACCATTGTAGGCACTGTGTCAATCTATCTTGTTGAGGGTCTTCCCCTTTTTCGCTGACCCTCTACTTTACCAAGCATGATATCCTTCTCCAGGGAATGGTGCCTTCTGACATCATGCTCAAAGTAGGTGAGATGAAGCCTGGCCACTCTTGCTTCTAAGGAACAATCTGGTTGTACTTCTTCCAGGACAGATTTATTCGTTCTTCTAGCAGACCTTGGTATTTTCAGTGTTTTTCACCAACACCATAATTCAAAAGCATCAACTCTTCTTCAGTCTTATTTGTTGTCTGGGTTTCACATGCACATGAGGTGACTGAAAATACCATGGCCTGGGTAGGAGATCTGGTGGTGCAATGCCTAAGACATTTGACTGCTAACCAGGAGGTTCTACTTCCATAAAGATTCACCACCTTGGAAACCCAGTAGGGATTGCTATGAGTTAGAATTGACTCAATGGCAGTGAGTTCACTTTTTTTTCAGTTTGGGTTAGGTACACCTTAGTCTTCAAAGTGACATATTTACTCTTTCACACTTAAAAGAAGTCTTTTGCACCAGATTTGCCCAATGCAATATGTCATATGATTTCTTGACTGCTGCTTCCTTGGGCATAGATTGTGGATCCAAGTAAAATGAAATCCCTCACAATCTCAATCTTTTCTCCACTGATCATGTTGTTGCTTATCAGTACAGGATCAGTGAAGATTTTTGTTTTCTTTATTTTGAGGTATAATCCATACTGCAGACTGTACTCTTTGACCAATAAGTGTTTCAAATCTTTTTTACTTTCAGCAAGCAAAATCATGTCACCTGCCTATCACAGGTTGTCAATGAGTCTCCTCAAATCTCAATGCTGCATTCTTCTTCATATAGTCCAGCTTTTTGGATTATTTGCTCAGTATACAGATCAAATAATATGGTGGAAAGATACAACCCTGACTCACACTCTTCCTGATTTTAAACCATGCAGTGTCCCATTGTTCTGTTTGAATGATAGCCTCTTATTCTTTGTACAGGCTCCTCATGAGCACAGTTAAATGCTCTGGAATTCCCATTCTTCACAATGTTATCCATAATTTGTTATGATCCACATAGTCAAATGCCTTTGCATAGTAAATAAAACACAAATAAACATCTTTCTGATATTCTTTGCTTTCAGCCAAGACACATCTGATATCAGCAATGTTGTCCCTCTATAGGGATATTATTGTATCTGTAAGCACTTGTATATATATGTTTGTGTGTGCTGCATAAGTATTCATATATATAAATAAAAATAAATAAATAAACAAATATATGAATACTTAGCTGGTAACATAGTGCCTAAGGCACTTGACTGCTAACCAGAAGGCTGGAGGTTCAAACCTACCAGCCACTCCTCGGAAGGAAGGTTGGGCAATCTACTTCCATAGTGATATTGCCTCAGAAACCCAAGGAGGGGTCGCTATGAGTCGTGGCTGACTCGACGGCTCATAACAACAACAAAAACAACAACAACATATATACATACATATTAAAGCAAATAGGGGCACAATTATGGAGACTTTCTAGACATATCCAAACACCTTGTGGGATTGGCTACTGGGTTAAACCAATTAAACAGCTGCCTTGTGGGATAATCTGGTCAACTGGCATAACATAGTTCATAAAGATAATGTTCTACACCCTAACTTGTGAGAAGCATCTAGGATCTTAAAAACTTGGGAGTGGCCATCTAAGATACAACTAATGGTCTCTATTTGTCTAGAGCAAAAGAGAATGAAGGAAACCAAAGTAAGGAAAAAAGTGTCCACAAGACTAAGAGTCCACATGAAGCATGGCCTCATGTAGCCTGAGACCAAAAGAACTAGATGGTGCCCCACTACCACTACAGACCTTTCTGGCCAGTGGCACAAAAGAAGGTCCTAGGTAGAATGGGAGAAAAATGTAGAATAAAATTCAAATTCCTAAAAAAGGCTAGACTTACTGGACCAATAGACTTGCCTTAAGATACCTTTTGAATTTGGAATTGAAGCCACTCCCAGAAGTCACCTTGCAGATAACTAATGCATGGGCTTATAAAATAAACAATATCCTCTATGAGTACTATGCTCTCCTAAATAATCAACTATATGAGGCCAAATGGTCAATTTTTATCCTAAAGCAAAAATGAGAAGGTAAAAAGGGGCAGGGAAGCTAGATTAGTGGAAACAGAACAAACAGAATGGAAGTATGAGAATGTTGACACACTGTGAAAAATGTAACCAATATTATGGAACAATATGTATAAAAATTATTAAATCAGAACCTAATATCCTCTGCAAATTTTCACTTAAAACACAACAAAATATTATAAAAACAAAAAAAAATCAGGTAATGAAAACCCTATGGATTATACTGGTCTGATCTGCAACTAATCATTGGGATGGCATAGGGCCAGGCAGCATTTCTTTCTGTTGCACATGGGATCACCATGAGTTGAGGGCCAACTTCACAGTGACTAACAACAACAACAATGAAAACTCTTAAACAAACACCACAATCAGAATGATTCAGATTCTGTTAATATTTTAAAAATATAACTAAAATAAAGTTTTAAAAAAAGTAGTGCTTGTTAGTCTATCTTACAAGAAGGTTTACAAAATAGTAGTATTAACCTTAATTTGAAAATACACTTAAAGATAGAATTAACTGTGTGAACCTAAGTCTATTTTCATCACATGATACTCATTGAGTGATAAGTTTGTATTTGTTTCCAAGGACAGCCCGGGACACATTTGTCAGCCTCTGTATTGCCTAGTTTCAAAAGCTAGTCCTTATTATTTGATTTACTTAAATTAGTGGATTCACTTTACCTTGGCTAGGGTAGCATAAGCAAGTCCAAGTATTCCATTCCATTTAATCCCAGGCAAAAAGAAATTCTCCGATTCAAAAATAGTAGCAATGTTGACAAGGAAAGAACTGTTGAAGCCTTTTGGGATAGTGACAATGTCCTCCCCCATGAAGCCGGTCCAGCTCCCTTGTGTGTACTTCACGGTGACCTCGAAGCCCTTGGAACGGTACGTGCTAGACCTGTAGGAACAAAGAGGCCGTCAGAGCTACTCCTTTAAGAGAGTGTGATGGACTGAATTGTGTACCCCCAAAATCTGTACTGTACATCCTAACCCCTATACCTGTGGTTATAATCCCATTTGGGAATGGGTTGTCTTTATTATGTGACAGAGACAAAGTGTAGGCTGTGTCTTAAACCAATTAGTTTTGAGATATAAAAAAGCAGATTAGGCACAGAAGCAAGCACAGATGGGGGAAGACAGATGCCACTCCACATGAAGACCATCAAAGAATAAGGGCCTTTCCCCAGATCCAACAAAGATAGAAAGCCTTTTACTAGAAGGGGGCCTTAATTTCAGACTTCCAGCCGCCTACACTGTGAGAAATTTCTGCTTGTTAAAACCATCCACTTGTGGTATTTCTGTTATAGCAGCATTAGCTAACCAAGACAGAGAGTTAATTTGTATTTTGTCTATGTGTCCTGTTCCACAAAGCACAAAGACAAGATGGCTGTCCATCCTGGCAAAGATAAAAAAAAAACAAACCTAAACCATTGCCATCAAGTCGATTCTAACTCATAGTGACCCTACAGGACACAGCAGAACTGTCCATAGGGTTTCCAAGACTATAATCTTTAATGGAAGCAGATTGCCACATCTTTCTTACATGGACTGGCTGGTAGGTTTCAACCACTGACCTTTCAGTTAGTTAGCAGCTAAGCACTTTAACCACTGTACCACTTGGTCTCCTTACTGGCAAAGATAGTTGTGCTAAAAACAGAAACTCTAGAATTTTTTATTTAAAAAAAAACGTTATTTTAAAAATTGTGGTGAGACTACATAACCAAACATTTGCGATTTCAATGTTTTACATGTATAATTCTGTGACATTGATTATGCTCAGCATGTGCAACCACCACTACCTGTTTCCAAAATTTCCCATCACCTTTAAAAAGACATTCAGTGTCCCCCAAGCAATGAAAAGGTCAGTGGCATGTATCTTTCTAGGGTGAAACTGGTGTTAATGCCCAGGGGAAAAGGGAACACATACATTCACTTGTCCATTCATTCAATGAATATTTATGGAGTGCCCACTCTGGAATAAGCACTGTTCTAATCTAAGGAGACAGGACAATGGACAAGATGGATGAAAATCCTGCCCTCTGGAAGCTTACATCTAGTGAGAGAGTCAGGCAGTCCAGAAATGAATATGTAAAATTTGAGGTGGTGATAAAAGCTACAGGAAAATAAAGTAGGATGAGAGGGAAGCATGTGTGACCGGATGGCCAGAGACAGCTGTGTGATATCAGGGCATTTGTATGAGACCTGAATAAAGACATTGAGTCATATGGCTCTCTTGGGGAAGGACATTATAGGAAGAAGGGAGAGTAGGAATCAAGGTCCGCAGTAGGAGTGTGGTCGGTATCGTCAATAAGGTCCAAGAGCAAGAGATGTGAGTGAGTGTGTGTGTGTGTGTGTGTGTGTGTGTCGACAGCTGGGGAAAAGGAAAAGCCTTGTGGGTCCTTGGAGGTTATAGAGTTTAATCTGAGGGAGATAAGAAACCCCTGAAAGTTTTAAACAAATTAAGGCATAATTGAGATCATCTCCGAAAAGTCTCTTAAATTGCCCCCAGGCTCAATAGGCATGACTAGGGGTATCCAGCCCTTATCAGATAATTCTTATGCTCATCTGAGTTTGAAACACTGTTGGACTAAAGGAAGGAACCCAAGGAACAGTTCTAGACAGGAATCTAGGCATTCAAACCATGTTCATCTAAACAAAAACTTCCAAATTCCTAACATAAGTGTTAAACCACCAAACAGATCATTCTCTAGCGTTTCTTCATGCCTGCAGTTTTCTCTTTTCATATTAAGTCTTTGCACCTTTAATACATGTTAGTAAGTCTTTGTTGTAGGATTACATGAAGTAGTGGAATTTTATTGGGCATCAGGGAGTAAGTTAAGTCAGGAATGATGGGAGTTTTTTTTTTTTTTAAACATCCCATGAAGTTTAAAATGCTGTCTTTAATTCAGTAATCGTACTTCTGCGAATCTGATCCTAAAGAAATACCCATGATGCAGGCAGGGATTCATGTACAAATATAGTCATTACATTTTATTTATAATAGCAAACAACTGGAAACAAACCAAATGCCCAGTAGAATGGAAAGAGTAAATTATGACACAGCCATATTATGGAATATTATATAGCACTGAAAAGGGACATATACAAAGAATTTATCAATGCCATGGAAAAATTTTAAGAGAAAAATGATACACAGAATCTTCTCCAAAACAATCTATTACATTAAAATATTAGCAGTGATTATCTTTGGTGGTAGGATTTAGGGGGAAACTCTCATTCTTGTGGTTAGGCCTTTCTATATTTTCTGCAAATACGGCTTTTCTAATCAGGAAAAATAAGATACTAGTTTTAAAATGTTCAAATACCAGTTCAACCACTTAGCAGTGTAAACCTGTGTAAACCTGGGCAAAGTTATTTAACCATCCTCATTCCTCAGTTCCTCAATTGAAAAATAGGGATAATATAGTATCATATCTCAGGGGTTTGATTATGAGAATTAATAGTTAATACCATAAAGATTTTGGAACAGAACACTGAAACACAGCAGAGAGTCAGCAAAAACAACCAGTGGGGTAAAGATTAACACACTCAGCTGCTAATTAAAAGGTTGGCAGTTCAGGTCCACCCAGAGTTGCCGCCAAGGAAAGGCCTAGCAAACAGCCATCAAAAAACCAGCTATTGAAAACATTACAGAACACTGTTCTATTCTGACACAAACAGGGTCACCATGATTCAGAATCAACCTGAGGATAATTGATTTTAATACAATTTTCTAACCAGTTGCTACTTTTACTCAGTCTATCACCAACTGTTAGAAAATTTAACAGATTTATCTTAATTTTTCATTAAAATTTTTCATTAAATTTCATTTTTTCTGGAAAATGCTCCTATCTAGCAATTCTCACTGAATATCCCTAACTGTCTCATTGTAATGTCCGAGTACCCCTGCTTAAAAGGGACAAATTTATGTGAGAAGACTGAGTTAAGGTTATCAGAGGGAGGTGGAGAGCCTTCAAGCTCTTGGGGGACAGATTTCTAAAAGGTACAGTTCTGTCGTGTGCTATATCAGTGCTGTCCAATAGAACTTTCTGTGATCATAAGAATATTCAACATTTGCATTGTCCAATACGATAACTACATGTGGCTAGTGAGCATTAAAAATGTGATTAATGTAACTAAAAAGTTAATTTTTGTTTTATTTTAAATGAATTAAATTGCCACATGTGGCTAATGACTACCCTAGTGGACAGTACAGTCCCAGATACTGTGAGAATAAAGCAATCTTAAATTCATATTCTCCAGGCTGCTTGAAATAAAAGAGTGAAAAACCCCAAAGACAAACTATTGGCATCTCTGGTTACACAATATTTAAGTGCTCAGCTGTTAAACGAAAGGTTGGCCATTCAAACCCATCCACGGGCTCTGCTGGAGAAAGACCTGGCAATTTGATCCTATAAAGGCTATGGGCAAGAAAGCCCCATGGGACAGTTCTACTCTGTCCCATGGGGTCTGTTGTTGTTGTTGTTGTTGTTGTTATGTGCCATTGAGTCAGACCTGACTCATAATGACCCCTCCTTGGGTTTCCGAGGCAGTATCACTACAGAGGTAGATTGCCCCATCTTCCTTCTGAGGAGTGGCTGGTGGGTTTGAACTGACAGCCTTCCGGTTAGCAGTCAAGTGCCTTAGGCACTACACTACCAGAGCTCCCATGGGGTCTTGTTGTTGTTGTTGTTGTTGTTTGCCGTCGAGTCGGACCCGACTCATAGCGACCCCTCCTTGGGTTTCCGAGGCAGTATCACTACGGAAGTAGATTGCCCCATCTTCCTTCCGAGGAGTGGC